TCTGCGCTGCAAAGTTTCTGATCCGCTCTGTATAATTGGAAATTATTTTAAAATATACGCATTCAGTACCTGATTTTTGAAGCAAATAATATCAGTTAAGTACAGGTCACCCTGTACTGTTCTGAAGTACTGCTTGTAATAAAATCCGCGTTCCAAGACACTTGTTTTTAAAAGAAAAAGCATGCACATGAAGACATAAATTTGGCGCAGTCGATAGGATTTATTAAAACAGCTCAAAAATTAATTGAAAAAATTTACTGTATTTTCTTCATCGAAATGATAATTTCCCAGTTAGCAACAGAAATCCGATCATTTAATAATATTTTAACAAAACTCGAAGTAATCGCTTTTGCAAACATGAACAGTCAACTATCACTAAGCTTTTATCAACTATAAAAATTACAGTTCATTACTGAAGGTGTTACGAACAAGAAACTGCCCCTCAAATGCACTAAAAAACATAATAGCACATGAAAAAATGAAAATAAAAAACAAACTAAATTACTTCCTATTGCCAAAGTATTTAAGCAAAAAACTCAAAAAATGTAAATTAATTTTAAAAAACCATCTGAAATAAGCACGTTATCTAAAGTAATAATCACCCAGTCGTAATAGTTTATCTTTAAATCGGCAAAGTTTCTTCTTTTCCAAAAAAAAATAGCGTGTAGTATTTACTGAAGAGTCTCCCTGTAAAATGCAACTATTGAAGTGAGTGAAGGAAAAGCATCATTATTAGTCCAAAACTTGCAGTTGCAGCATAAAAATGCGGAAATAATAAAGAATATATTCCAGTGAAAAATGCTGAACGAGGAATAACAAGTTCTAAACAAACAAAACAGAAAAATTGTGTGAAAATAAAACCCATTTACTTTTCTGAAAATTGGCAAACTTTTACTAAATAAACGCCTAAAGTGTCTTGGGAATAGGCAAACTGAATATGAACAAAACAACAAACAAACTCATTTATAAAGAACCTGTTTAATATCAAATTATGTAAAATATATCATACATAAAAAACTATAAAAGTATACAACAAGCAAATCGAAACGATACGAAACACATTAAAATAGCTCTTGGTTTCCAAAGTACTGACAAAAAATACCTGTTTCAAAGTGTCTTAAAACAATATTATCTACATCCACAACTCTCAACGACTACCTGATCGTAGCTCTTCAAAACCACATTTCCAGAACGATCCAGATACATAATGGGAAGCGAGCTGTACTCATTTGGAACGCAACAAACCTTTTCTCGCACTCCATTGACAAACTGCTTCAACTTAGCGTGATTGTTCTGTTTGCGATTATCCTCCAAGTGACATCTTCCCGAGCACTGATAGGCCATAAATCCATTTTCCGGATACAAAATAAACGAATCCCACTGCAATTGTTGAAAATCCAATTTCCAGGGCTTTTTTGAACAGGCTGTGTTGCTCTTCACTGGCGCTGTTTGGTTAGCAGCTCTGTGGTTAGTTGTGCTTGGACTGAGTGTTTCTGGAAAACTGTTGCTTAAAGGAGTGGAACTTTTCTTTTGGATTAACCACGTACGATTCCTGCGAATGTTTAGGACAGCAAACGTTTTAAAAACACCCTCGTTCGTATCGTTAAATATGGAGATAAGCTTGTTGTCGTCATAGCTGGAGATGGTGAGCAACAGTCCTAAGTTGTCTTCGCCACTAATCCAGTTTTCAATCGGTTTCTTAATTTTGAAAGTCTAGGAGGAAAATAATATATTAACGTTGCAAGTTTTTCTTGTCTTAAAATCATTTGGGCGCGGATGGTCCAGAAAAATCCTGTAAATAATGCTGCAGCTGATCAATAAAATAAACCATTCAAGTAGTTTTCAAGAACAGCTCTGCTCAGGCATTAGTGATTTATGAATAAGCTGCGAAAGTTCATGGAATTAGTTCAACCAGGAATGATGCATGAGTAAATATTCCTCCATTAATGCCAATGAAATGTAAAACATTAAATAGTTTTTAGAAAACTTCTACACTGATTGTTTGTTTGTTATTGCAAATCAAGACAGAACAGAGCGCAAGTTATTTCTGTAAAATTTGGGCTTTCCAGACCGGACTAGGCATGTTAAAAGTATCTAAGATTTTTTAATTATATTCAATATGAAATGTTCTAATCAAAAAGCATATTTTTATTTGATTTGGTTAATAAGCCGAGAAATAATGTTGAATGAAATAATAATGAAGAATAAGGTCTATATTTATGTGAATGGAAGAAGCGAGCACAAAACAATAGAAAAAATATAAGAAAATTACCCACATTTATTAAAAATATTATTGGCAGCAAATATAAGAGTGCTCGGTATAATCGCGTAGAAGTCGAAAAATCACTGTGATTTAGTCTAGAAATTTTCTCTAGGGAAGAATAAGAAAAATAGACGTCGATATGTAGGAGACTTTTCAACAAAAGAAATGTATAATCACTCTGAACATTTTTGAGATAATCTTCTTTTAAATTGTCATTTTTCAATGCAGCCTTCCAAACCACTTCTATTTATAAGTGTCGCAAATTTTATGTTAAGCGTTTTTAACACGGAGGGTAAGTTCAACTTACCTGCCAGCCCTTTTGGGCCTTGGAGATGTAAATCACATTGAACAGTTTGTGAACGTCAGGATTTTCCACTAAAATCGATTCGTTCAGGTCATTGCTAAACTGGCTTTCAAACTGATACAATCGCAGTACAACAGAAGTTTTGTAAATACTAGAAAACATTTAAATTAGCGTACAAAACGTTCCAAATTTTAACTGCACAAATATGGAAAAGTAGACTACCATCAGAAAAATCTATAGAATATAATGTGGAAACAACGCTTCAGTTTTGTCTTCTTTATGACCGTAATTTTCATATTAGTTCTTCAATGCCACGCCCCGTTTAATGAAAGCATCCAAAGAAGCAGATTTTCTGGGCTTCTGGTTTTTGGAAGGTTTCCAACATTTGCAATGCAGAATCAATAAGAAAATTACAAATCCTGTTACTTTTAGCAAGATCGTTCAGATCAAAGATTTGAAGATCTTATTTGAAAATAGATGCTTTTTCCAGTTGTTAACAGAAAATCGATACTAAAGTGTAAGAAGGCGTTAAATTAAACAAGAGTATGTTTTGGAAACAATGACTGTTGGAATGACCGTGAGGGAAGTAAAGAAGGTCCAACACTTTCTACTTTTATTGAGATCGTTCAGATCTAAGATTTGAAGATCTTATTTGAAAATAAGTGCTTTTTCCAGTTGATAACAGAAAATCGATACTAAAGTGTAAGAAAGCGTTAAATTAAACGAGAGTATATTTTGGAAACAATGATGTATGGAATGACCGCGAGGGAAGTAAAGAAGATCCAACTCTTTCTAAGATCTAACATATACAAGTTCTACATCTGTAAAATATTACCCACGAAAAAACTTAAAACGGAATTGATGGCACGTTCTTCAAAAGCTGCAAAGGGCTTTGAAAAATAAGAAGAAACGATAAAAAAGGGCTTTAAGACGGAAGCAGGAAATGAGTGATCAAGTAAAACGTAAAAAAAATATTTGTTATCAGCCTCAAGTTACAAATAAAGTGTTAGCAACAATGAACCGACCAATCCGAACAAATTTGGATTTAATTGAACTCGATGGACCATTAAGTAAAACCACAACTCAAGTTAGTTAACTGAAGATGTAAAATGTCAACAGATCACTCGAGCGCATTTTCGGAATTTCAAAAAGATCGGTTATGTAATTATAAAACAACTGTTAGCTAATATTTCTCAAAAATTGTCGACTTTAACATCAATCAATCCTATATTTTGGATTTAAAATACCTTGAAGTGTTTTCCAGGGGCCAGTAGAAATACATCTCGGCATCCGTAACGTTTTCATTTTCGATTTTCAGGCTGCTTAAATCGAATTTGATAATTGTGTTCGAAGAATTTCTGTGCAAATTAAACAAGATTCTCACAGTGTCTGTGTTATTCGGTTCTTTTAGTCTTTGCTCGTAGAATTTTTTAATGAAAACTGGAATGTTTGTTTTGTTGGTTTGCTTCGGTACATAGTTCCACTCGTCGTCCAAGAAAAATTGTTTCAATTGAATCTGCAAAAATGCATTAGTTTTGTAGCATTTAGAGCATTTTAACTGGGAAATTAAAAAATCGACAAACTATGAAACTCAGGGTGGTATCAAAAGTACTCTGCAAAAATTTAGATGATGATTGCTGGCATTCTTTTTCGATGAAACAAACTAGAAATTTATTATTAATATGTATTAACGTCATAATTTTGCAGAATGCTTCTATAGAATTATATTTTTTTTTTGGTCAGCAGTGGCTCTCTTGAGTTTTCTCAACAATCGTACTTCTCAACTTCGGACAATTAATAATTTTCGCGTAAAAAAATTTAAATCGTATTATTGCAAGCTTTAATTGCCGTAGGTTACTTAAGGCTTGCAAAAACCGATTTCAACCAAACTTGAATAAAAATTGAAACCGAAGTAAATTAGCGAAGACGTTTTAAACCGAATATAACAATAAACGAGAAAAATTGATACGAAAGAGGGCATGAATATGTCGACGATCAGTTTGAACATAGGCCGAAATATTGCCAAGAAACTAATATAATTTTAGCAATAAATGTGGCACTTTATTTTAAATAATTTATAAGTGAACTTGATGAAAAGAATTTGAAACGATTTTCTTGCAAACTTTCCTTCTCAAATTCCTGAAAGTATTGCTTGAGTATACATACAGCTGTTGATGTGAGTAGACGTGTTCTGGTCGCGGTGATAGTGGTGTTTACAGTTAGAGGCATTAAATACCATTCCACATATCCACATATGAGGTGGTATTGCGGTCAATGCCGTCAAGCAATCGTGTGACAAATACCAACAAAACGATATAAAGGTCAGCAAAAACCATCGGAAGATGGCAACAATAGCAAATAAAGTTGCACTTACACAGCAGCAATTAAAAACCGAAAATGAATTATATTTGTGGGAGATATTGCAGCAAACCCTTGCAATCAATAAATCTCTACAAGGTAAAATCCACCAGCTAGAATTAAAGCCTTGAGAAAAAAGAATTGGAAAGAGAACAGACTGGTAAAGACAAAACAAGTCTGGTAAAAAAATGCTTACCACCAAAGGCTACGAATATATTCATTTCGTTGCGGCGAGCATTGGACAATCGGCATCACCATCGAACATCGAAAGCAATAGCTCAGCCATGTGAAGATGAATATTACACCAAAAAACGCCCAATGAATACTTCGTCAGATGCCACTCCTCCAAGAAACAACGAAACAAAAACTAAAAAAGTGCTAAAGCCCCCACCAATCATGATATATGAGGTCAGATCATATGAGAAGCTATATAAAATAATTATAGAAAAAACCAATATCGATATCAAGTACAAATGATCCTGTCCATAGAATCGTTAATACTATAAAAAATTCGCTAGAAGAGAAGAAAGTTTTTGATGTTGCACAGGCTTTCGATAAAGTCTGGCACGAAGGCTTGATCCATAAACTTGAAAAGTTGCTTCCGGTTCAATGCTGACAAATATTGAAATCTTACGTAACTGAGAGGTACTTCAGAGTCAGATAGTAATGCTTACTCTGATCTAAAAGAAATTCAAGCAGGGGTTCTGCAAGGCTGTGTATTGCTTAGAGGCTATGTAACACTTTATCTACTATACACATCGGATTTGCCAGTGGGCTCTGATGATGTTAGTGTGAGTGGGGTTGAAGAAGAATTACGTCAAGCTACTGTTGCTGATCAAAATGTTGTTGCTACATTCGCTGATGACACTGCAATCCTAGCAATAGGCGACAGCAATATTGCTGTCTGTGCATATGCAATCTACTGAAAAACTCCAAGCAGCTGTAGATAAGGTTCAACGTTGGACCCTAAAATGGCACATCAAATTAAATGAAAAGAAATCGGTCCATATCGACTTCACCAACAAACGAATAGACTACAAACCCGTATACACGAATAACAAGATTGTACCATATGAAGGGTACAGGCTAAGAAGGGGGAACGTCAATTTTGGTTCATTTGGAGCAGTTCAGTTCATTTTAAACACATGATAGTTCTTATTATCAAGTAACAGCACACAGACAAAAAAAAAGGAAAAGTCACCAGATATCGATAATTAAAATTATGCTGTACTCACTAAAAAGGAGGAGAGTCCGCGCGCCACATGCTAAGAAGGGGGAACGTCATAAATGTTCGTTATTATTGCTGGCGCTCTTGTGGCTGCAGTTTTTGAAGTTTTTTGAGCTGCAAGAGTTAAAGCAAATCCTTTTGATGTTATGGAAGTCACTTTTAATTGATTTTTTTTTAATTCTGGACCACGTATGTTTCTACACTTCTTTACAAACATAAGTGTCCAATGAAAGTACGGCCCATACGTGAACTAAAAGTCGTCAAAGAATATCCTAGACTTGTCTACCATTAATTAACTTGGAATGACATTTGGAAAACTGCTGTTTTGATTGAACCGAAGCAAAAAAGGGATGCTTATCAATATTTTGGCAAGCAATGAGTTTAAATTACCTGGCCAGTTATACAAAGGTAACTACGCACATAATATTATTTTACGATATTAAGGATGTTCTATCTATTTGCAGGACCGCTGCCTATTACACTGGCCCAATTCACTGACCTACAGAGAATAATAAAATTCTGTCTCAAAACAACAGCTAGAAAATATTTTTCTGCATTGCCACATATCAAAAATGTCAAAAGCAAGGCTACCTTCACAAAAGCTCAGCAAAAATCAGTCTGAGCATATTCTGTATATTTAATAATTAATAAACAAATCTGCAATTTAGTAAAATTTAATTTCATAACCTTTGCTATTTTGCTTCTGATTTTGGTAAAAAAAAATCAAAATATTGCAAAATTTCAGTGGAAATCTATGACATTCCCCTTTCTTGTTCGATACAATCCGTAATGTCTTTTGTAATTTTAATTGATTTGTAATCGTAATTTTTTTGCGTTTAAAAAAATTGTAATTAAAATGTCATTAATAATTTCTGCAGTGTAATCTTAAACACCTATAACAAATTAAATCCATTCAAAAGAGATCCAGTGCTAATTAATAAATTAATTAGTTATACGGTTTTAAAATTAGAAATCGATTTCCTGAAAATTAACTATTTTTGACTTTCCCCCTTTTTTGCCTGGACCCTTCATATGGGAATACACTTAAATATCCAGGCATAACCCTCGATACAAAATTCAGATGGAAACCACACGTCAAGAAGAAACAGGAAGAACTGAAACTGAAGTACAGAAAGCTGTACTGGCTATTGGGTAGAAACTCAGCTCTCACAGTGTATAATAACAAGCTATTGTTATATAATCAAGTCTTGAAGCCAGTGTGGACTTATGGTGTGCAACTTTGGGGCTGCAACAAACAGAGCAATAGAAACATCATCCAGCGCTTCCGCAGAATAAAGTACTTCGTAGTATCGTTGATTCACCTTGGTATATAAGAAATGCAAATCTACATAAAGACTTGGGTGTAGTAACAGTAGTTAACCTCATCAAAAAGTATGTACAGAATCATGAACAGCGACTCCCTCAGCACGTGAATTATCAGGCACTCAAGCTCCTGGATAATGCGGAAATACAGAGAAGACTCAAAAGAACTAAACCATTCGAACTGGTGTAGAGGGCAGAATTTGTGAGAGAGCACATGTCAAACCGATGTACTGCAGTAATACAGATAGAGTGGCTATCAAAGGATGTGTGTGCTTTGTGTTGTTTAATGTAGTAGATTAAGTTAAAGACAAATGGCTTATTAGTATACTGTACTAGATTGCTATAACAATTTAAAAAAATCTTGAAATAAAACTCAAACGCCGTTATTCGACAAAAGATACAAGGGGATTCAGAAATAGATACATAGAAAATGCTTGCAATTTTTGCGGGAATTGAAATAAAAGTATAACAAGGGACATTTTAACTCAAAAGCGTTTGATTTGCAAATTTGCGTTGGCAGTATAGTCAGATTCTTCCGATTTTCTTACAAATAAATCCGTGATTTGAAAATTGTGTATTTCATCAGTCGAGACTATACATTTTTACTAGCATAATTGAAAATACCTTTTTCTTTCGAATTAATCCAGTCCTTGAAAATGACAAATTCGCACAAAGCTAGCTACACTTACCTTCTTCGGACTTTCTTTAGTGTCCTTTCTAACATTTTGAATATTTTGCGGCGGATGTGGGTTAGCATCCAAATCAGTAATGTTGTGGTTCAAAAAGTGGATTCGATTATGCACACTAAACTCGTTATTTCCTATTCCTTTAAAGTAGTAGGACTTGCCCGAATTGTTTAGCGATTCGATGGTGAGAAACTGGAAAATTGGCAAAAACACCCATGAAAACTTGCGGTTCATCTTTACTAGGCAAAGTTGTAGGCCAATTTAATAACTTCAACTGGCTTAAAGTGTGTAATGGGAGCAATTTTTTCTAAATTGTACTAACCTACGGATTTTGAACCTATTTAAAACTCTATAGGAAAATTGCTGCGATGACCTAACCGGCATTTAGTGCCTTTTACGATGATTCTAATGGGCTTGTTTCAGTTGAGAAGACATACACTGAGTCCCATATTGCTATTAATTAATGCGACCAAATCAATAGAGCCTGAAACGTTCAAATTGGACAAAAGTGGAAAACAGTGGAATGTATTACAACCAATTAATTATGACTTAGCTTTCGCAGAGGATGGGGCGGGTTCAAATCAAATTCGTTCCGAATGCTTGAACAACAAAATGAAATTTTGCTTTTTCCCTGGATGTGCTGCCTAGTGGAAAATCTGTTTCCATGGTGCTGCTGCATCGATCCATTTGCCGAATCTCCTAGACCCAGAACATGGATTTAAACGCACACACGTGTAATGCGCTTAAAAGTGGCAATCGTGAATGGTTAAAATTACAAAGTAATTTGCCTGTAGTGTGTAATTCACAGGAAATGTAGCGATATAATGAAGGCTGCTTATCAAAACAGTCAAAAAGGGGTTTATGGAGTGTTTCAAAACATATTAGCAGAAAAATATATACACGGTGGCTCGTACACTTTCCACAATACTTGAAGCCATTTTCATAATTCCGTCGCCTGATGAAAGGTTCCCACGCGAGAACTCAAAAATTTTAAACACTGAACCATTACGCAAAGTAATTATTTTGAATGTACGCTTTGGTATAAAAAAACCATTTTAATAAAAACTCCTTATAACTCTATTTCTGTTATCTGTATTAAAAATAAAAATAATAATAATAATTATATTGCTTTACTTCGAATCATGGGCAGAATTTTAGCAGAACACAAAATGAAATGGCGTGAAAAATGGCACACAGTTTCACACATCGGGACAAAACTCTCTTAAACTATAGGGTTCCAAACCTATTACCAGATTTTTCCGTGTTGAACAATTTTTGTGAAGAAATATCTTTTATTCTTGCTGGGAGACAATTAAACAATTTTATGCACATGTACTGGGGACACCTTTCCGTGAGCGAAAGCCTATCTGCCATACAACCGATATCCAATGCTCTGGTGTTATACTCGTGTTTTGTCTAATGTCAAAAAAGCTTTTGTTTCTAAAGAAGAACATTAGACATTCATATATATATACACCATAAATCGTCATTATCTTGAAGTTCTTAAAGACCGATCTACAACTTTGCAACTAACTCATTTTCTTTATAATCCTAAGTATTCTTTTCTGATTAACAAAAATACGCGGGATCATACAGTATTTCTCCAAAAATATAATACCATATTCAAGGACCGATTGAAAATTCGCAAAGTATAATATCCTAAGTGAGTTTCCGTTCATGTACTTACTAACAACCCTAATGCCATAACAAATTGAGTTTAGTTTTTTCCTTAAATTATTTATATGGACTGAAAAACCAAGATGTTCATTGATGTTAATACCTAAAAATTTGGCATTCACATCAATGAACATCTTGGTTTTGTTCGAAACAGCAGTACAATCGTTTTATCTTTATTTAGAATAAGTTTATTTGATATGAACCAGTCTGCAACTAAATTAAAGAATTTCTCGGCCTTTAAAGTTAGCTCTTGCAGATTTTTGCATCCAATGATTAAATTTGGGGCGTGTTTTACCATATGCTGGCTAGAAGTATTCATCAAAAGGTGTAGACCATTTACAAACAGTATAAAAAGAATCGGACCCTATATACTTCCTTGGGCTATTCCTATGCTACTTGACAACATCTTCGATCTCCCATCTTTCCCTTTTCTTGTAACCATTACAACCTACGTTCTATCGTCTAACTATGATAAGCCAGAGTTTTACATTTCCTCTTATACTATATTTATTCGCTTATCCTAAGAGCAGTTCCCTATCCAGACAATCATAGACTTTAGACTTAGAGCTTTAGACAAATCCAGGAGCATTCCTAGTACTACTTCTCCACTTTCCAGGTGCATTAGGATAGATTTCACAAACTCAATTATTGCGGTTTGAGTTAATTTTCCTTTTAAAAACCCGTGTTGACAATTAATAAATATGTTACATTCATTTAGGAAATTTACTAATCTGGTACTCATTGCCACCTCAAATATTTTCGAGAAGCCTGGTAGTAAACTTATTGGCTTATAATTGTCCAGGACTTCAGGGTCTCCTTTTTTATGTAAGGGTTTAATTAAAGCAATTTTTAAATTTTCAGGAAATATCCCAAATCGAAAAGAATTATTTATGATATAGCACAGAATGTTTTGCAGTTCTCTAGCCGCTATCTTAATTATGCTTGCCGGAATTTCATCAATTCCGCTACTGTTTTTGTTTTTTAACTTTTCCGCAATTTTTCTAACTTTGCTGGGTGTTACAGGGCTTAGGAACATGGAGCTTACATTATCACTAATACTACAATTAAAAGGGATTTGACTCAATTCACTCAATAAATTAGGCACAATGGAAAGTAAAAAGTCAATGTACTTATTAGCAATATGTTCAGGCTCTCCTTCCACCTTTACATCAACGATCGCGTCTTTCCCCGTTATTTCTTTGCAAATAGACCACATGCATTTTGATTTATTATCCGAGTTTTTAGTTCTATTTTCATAACGATTTGCCCGTGCCTTAGCTAATAGACTATCATAGGTCTTGTTTTCTTTGTTATACATTTCTTTGTATGCTACGTCTTGTCTGGACAAAGTTAATAGGGTGTCTAATCTATACTTACATGTTTGTTTCATATTTGAATTTGATTGAATAAATTTTTAAAAGAGTTCATAAATGCATTCAGGTTAGATGCGTCCATACTGTATACCTCAAGCCAGTTTTGATCATTTAGGCTACACAGGTGTTCTGGTCTGATCAGAACAGTTTTCAAGCAAACCACTTCTGAAGATGCAAGCCACTCGTGCTTGCGAAACGTCAAGAAGCAATTCTACCCAACGACGGCCTAAAAACCCGAAAAACCCATTAGTTTCTTTTTCACTTTGTTTTCGTCCCAGCACACTGGCTGTTTAGTGAAGCATTGAACTATTCCTAACAACAAAGTTGTAATCAGACTCTGTAGTCTGTACTGTGAATATCTTCCAAAAATTTACGCAAATTTATTGAGGTTTTTATGTAAGTCTATCATCTTCCATCAGAAGACGTTGGCCAATTTTTCATCGTCTTCAATGAGTAAAATAGAATGCAATTTCACTCACAGTTCGTTTTCATTATTGACTGCTCCCGTTTCTTAGCCGGAGTGAAACAATCGCCTTCCAGATGATAAGATTTAAAGTTAAATTGAGAAATCGGACCCCATCAATTTCGTCGCATTCAAAATTAAACCCCATATCCACGAATGACACCCGTGACTATCGTAGCCGGCGCACTTTAGCCACGGTTTCGTGGTTCGCACCCCCCACATTTGGGGTAACGGGGTGGAAATCATTGCTGGCGATAAGTTACGATGCCACGACTTCATCAGCTCTGAGCTAATAAACGCCAACCCCCCGGTTAAAGATCGCTTAACGTTGCATTTTAGGGATGCTACAACTCGAATTTATGCGTATCGAACTTTGCGTTTTAATTTCCTTCTAATGATTTATTTATTCAAAAATTCAACCGTCGAAAAAGGAAACAGTATCGCGTTATTTCATGTGAGTATCACGTTCTGTGCTGGCTGCAAAAGCTATTCCATCGAATATTTCCGAAGTTATAAGTGAATTTGGTCAAGAAACGCAAAAGCAAGGGCTAAGAAAATGGACACGAACCGAAATAATCTTCCATGTGGAATAAAACTTTAAAAAGCATGGGAAGAATGAGCGAATTGGGTAGAAGACTATCCGATTATTTTAATCCGAATAACCAATTAATTGATAATGAATGTGGGATGTGAAAGCGCAGCCAGAACCGTTGGTAATAATCACGAACAAAGACTCCAGGTCACCAATTTCATTAAGTCTTATTGACGTGATTATCACGTTATACATTGTCCATAAACGACGTATACTGTCACAAGACATAAAAATTGTCACTTTAAATGCCTTGATTGTTTTATAAATCAAAACTGCTGCTCTGGTACAGACGAAAATCTGCATTTGCCATCAGAAATTTTCTATTAGGCACTTGCTACATCCAAATTCGAAATAAGGGAACGCTAACGCTAAAAAAGTATCTGCTCCTGACTTTCGCTCGCTATCTCCTTCAACATGCTGCTGCCCTGGTACAAGCGAAAATCTGTTTTTGCCATCAGATCTTTTCTATTAGAGACTTGCTACACCCACATTCAAAATAAGGTAACCCTGACGCTAAAAATGTATCTGCTCCTGATATTCGCTTGCTCTCTCCTTCAACATGCTGCTGTCCTGGTACAAACAAAAATCTGTATTTGCCACCTGAACTTGGTTAAGAGAGGTACTCTGCAAATTCTACTTTTATAAAATGAAAGACAATTTTATTAAACAATTTATTTTTCATCTATTTGACCGAATCTGATAGAAAAGGCATTTTCACATGTAAGGCACTTGCATTTATATTAACATCAGGTATTGGCATCAGAGTACTCTTTTGATCGATCTTTTCTTGCATATCATTTGCTTGTAGTGGATGTTTATCGTGTGGAAACATGCAGGAGTCGTTTCTTTTCTGCAGCTTAGATGGCGGGATTTTGGCAGCAGCAACCTGTAATAAAAGACCCAAATCTTAGTGAATAAGCCTTCATAGTATATTATGTAATACGCATGATAATATTTAGGGGGGACATACTTTTTTTCAAATAAACGATAAGGCCGTTGACGCTATCAACTTGTTTGTTGCAGGGGGCAATATAAATCAAATTATACCAGTAATAATTAAAATTTAACTCTAGAAACTTATTGTAGAGCATTTTCAAAAAGCTCACCGTTATTATCAATACAAACATTGAAACGCTTTAAAACTGAATAAGTTGCTTTTCGTGGGGGCCGACCATCAATATTTGCAAGTGCTCTAACAACAGCTTCTTTAAGTACATTTCAATTGGAATATTTTATGTGTAAACTGTGTTTTTTACGGCTCCACACCAAAAGAAATCCAAAGGTGAAAGATCCGGTGATCGAGGTGGCCATAAAATAGGACCGTTTCGTCCAATCCAAGCCCCAGGAAATGTTACGTCCAGGTGATTCCGCACTTGGGAAAAATTATGCGGAGGAGCGCCATCATGTTGAAACCATTGCACATTACGCCATGTTTCTAGATCTACGTTGTCCAACATAAAAAGATTTCGACTCCAATTTAAAGTTTTTTTTTATTTGCCCGGCGGCGGCTGGAGGATAAAAATCTTCCCGAAGACACCCAGTGCCCCGTAACACTGGGTAGTGTTGGATTTCTACCAACTAAAAACCCCGTTTTTGACTTCACGTTTTCGGGAGTTGTCCTTTGAAACTTGCGGTCTTCTGTAAGAATGGTTCAGCTCTGACATCCGTATGCCTTTACGCTGCCCATACTAGCTATCTGCAGGCAGCTTACTAATTTAACACAAGCACTACACAACACTACTTCTATCACACTATTTTAACTATGTTTCACACTTACAGCGCTTGCAGTTAACTGCTTTACCTATTGCCCTGTTGGGCCATCTGGTGCCTGGACCTCTTTTTCCTGAGCCCGGCATCCTCTGGTGAGTAATCTACGGCATTCCGTAGCTCAGCAAGCGGGTGGTTTTCGGCCTTTTCAAAGGTCGAGGCAGCTTTCCGTTGCAGGAAGTCTCTCAGTGGCTCCCACTCCAGGTCCCTGTAAATTTGACTATTACGTACAAACCAGGGAGCATATATGGCCATCCGCAGAAGTTTTTTTCTGTGGCCTGAAGCTGTCTCAGGTAGGTTTCTGCCGCATACCCCCACACTGTGGAGGCATACGTCATTGCCGGCCTGATGACACTCTTGATG